GTAAACAAATGCTGCACCCTGCGCACTCCCAGCACATGTACCGGTGTTCCACGGAAAGGTATTGATCTCTTCTTGCTATCAGGACCTTATCCGATCATGTGACTGCCATTACAGCCAATCATGGCGGTCACATGACCCTAAACCCCTGCCGGCATCAGAAACCCCTTAAAGGGCCGGTAGGCACCAACTCGAAGGGGTTGGTAGTGTCAGGCTGCAACATAACAAAATTGGAAAAGTGAAGGGGGTCTGAAAAATTTTCAGAAAAAAAAACAATATTTTTTTGACCTTTTGCTATTAAACATGTCCAGTAAATTTAAAAAAAAAAATCAAATTTTGTTATAAATTTAGGCCAAAATATATTCTGCCAAATGTCTTTGCTAGAAGAAATCCCAATACGTATAAATTAATTACATAAAAGTTATAGTGTTTACAAATGGCGGTATAGATACTGGAATTTTTTTTTTTTTCTCGTAATGGAAGCAATCAGTGACTTACGGCAGGACTGCGGCGGACATTCTGACACTGGTCGGAACTGATTTGGAGTCAGGGACATCCCAAATGACACCAATACAGTGATCAGTGCTAATAAAAAGTTAACTGTGTGCGGTTTTACATGGGCTGTGTTTGTGTTTCGCTGTAAGCGCACTGCTGTGTATGGCTTTGCTATGCAGAGCCATACAAAGCAGTGTGCAGGAGCTGATGGGAGGTATCTGTATTGTTTACATACAAGTCTCTCCCCCTGTCAGAGATACTCAGCGATCACCAGCTGGGACGTGGTAATTGACAGGCAAAGCCGCGAAAGTATTAGGGCACCTGCCTTTACATGCACATGAACTTTAATGGCATCCCAGTCTTAGTCCGTAGCATTCATTATTGAGTTGGCCCACCCTTTGCAGCTATAACAGCTTCAACTCTTCTGGGAAGGCTGTCCACAAGGTTTAGGAGTGTGTCTATGGGGATGTTTGACCATTCTTCCAGAAGTGCATTTGTGAGGTCAGGCACTGATGTCGAACGAGAAGGCCTGGCTCACAGTCTCCACTCTAATTCATCCCAAAGGTGTTGTTTCAGGTTGAGATCAGGATTCTGTGCAGGCCAGTCAAGTTCCTCCACCCCAAACACATTCATCCATGTCTTTATGGACCTTGCTTAGTGCACTGGTGTGCAGTCATGTCAGAACAGGAAGGGGCGATCCCCAAACTGTTCCCACAAAGTTGAGAGCATGAAATTGTCCAAAATGTCTTCAAATGCTGACAACATAAAGAGTTCCCTTCATTGGGCAGCACAGTGGCTAAATCATTAGCACTTCCACCTGGCAGTACTGGGGTTGTTGATTCAAATCCCAGCCACGGCACCTCCTGCTGGAGTTTGCATGTTCTCCCTGTGACTGCGTGGGTTTCCTCTGGGTACTCCAGTTTCCTCCCACACTCCAAAGACATGCTGGTAGGTTAATTGGCTCCTGTCTAAATTGTCCCTAGTATGTGTATGTATGAATGTGAGTTAGGTACTTTAGATTGTACACCCCTTGAGGGTTAGGGACTGATGTGAATGTACTATATATATATATATATATATATTTATATGTAAAGCGCTGCGTAAATTTACGGCGCTATAAAAGTACCTGAAATAAATTGGGGCCAAGCCCAAACCCACACCATAATCCCCCTCCACCAAACTTTACACTTGGCACAATGCAGTCAGGAAAGTACGATTCTCCTGGCAACTGCCAAACCTAGACACGTCCATGCTTTGCCCCACTGATTTGCATTGCACTTGGTGACGTTAGGCTTGGATGCAGCTGCTCGGCCATGGAAGTCCATTCCATGAAGCTCTCTATGCACTGTTGTTGTGCTAATCTGAAGGCCAAACAAAGTTTGGAGGTCTTTAGCTGTTGACTCTGCAGACAGTTGGCGACTTCTACGCACTGTGCGCTTCAGCATGCGCTGACCCCACTCTGTCATTTTACATGGCCTCCCACTTCGTGGTGGAGTTGCTGTTTGAATTTGCTTCCACTTTGGTATAATACCCCTAACAGTTGCCCATGGAATATTTAGTAACAAGGACCATGCTTGAATTTACTGAGCTCCTGAGAGCGACCCATTCTTTCACAAATGTTTGTAGCAGTCTGCATGCCTACATGCTTGATTTTACACTGTATCTGAGCACCACAATCTAAAGACAATATTTAATTCATTTTTCAAAGCAAACTCTCCCATCCATGTCTCCATGCTTTATTTCACGGAGAAAAAAAACTGAAGACCCCCCACCTCCTAGCATTTCTGGACATGGCCATCTTGAGTAAGGGAAGATATTTATGTAGCATTTACTTCCTGGTATCAATCTGCCTTTAGCTCAGACATGCAGGCAGGATGGTGTGCTTAGCTGAGAAAACCCCTCCTGAAGACTCCTGGGATGTATAACATCATTTGTCTAGGCAAGAAAAACAGGAAGTAACTGAAGAAATGTAAAAACCTTTAAAATAAGCTGATATACTTTCCTGTCTATTTACTAATAATAGCAGCATAAGGAAAAAAAATAGTCAGTCAATGTTGATTGGGAGAGTGAAGTACCGCTTCAACATGTGTGCATTAAAAGCAGTACTGTGAACCAACCATAATCAATGGGCCTTAAGTAATAATGCCCTGTGCACACATCAATTACATTTCTGTGATTATTTAGAGTATGATTTATTACATCTGAATGACAATCTACTTAGAATAAAATTATTTCATGCAAAAATGCAACTTCTGAGCTTTTGAATCTTGGACTTTAAAAAAAAAAAAAAAGGGAATGACCTAGTTTTACTTTAGGGTCTGTTTGGGATCTGTGATTTGCTTTCATCTTTTCATGAAAGTACATGAACCCATGTAAACTACAGCCCTTTCCAGAGGAAATCACAACTCCATCAATCATGTCCAGCAGGCAACACAGAGCTATTTAACATGGGCAGTGCTGCTGGCACTAAAAATGGAGAAAAACCACATCCACATTTCCCCCCCCCCCCCCAAGTATTCAAACATTTGTACATTTAAAAACACCCCTGAAAATAAACAGTCTGCAAGAAAACCTATTTCTGTGATTTATGGTGGGATCGAAGACATTTTCTTCCATTAATTTGTGACCAGTAGAAACAAGTGTCCCCGTTACCTGCTTTATTAGGAGCCTTGTGGACAAAGCAAAGTACTAAAAAAAAAAAAAAAAAAAAAAAACTCACTTTGATAAACTACATCCATATTTTTTCCCCTAAATGATCATTTTTCTTTCACGGAGACCTGAAAAATATCCATGCGATCAGCAACAAATACCCATGGGTGCTGTCAGCCTGCCACTTCTTTGAACTGGGCTTCTTGTTTGCAGCAAATCACACGGAACCCTGCTGAGTATCCTGCATATAAATCGCAGTCAGCCCCCATTTGCAGGTGTGAAGGGTGCCATGTGCCCACATATCTTTTACTCACTTAGGCCTTGTACATATGGGCTTCAGTTTGTACTAGCGTATATAGCAAACATTTACAAACCATTTGAAAAGTTTTCAGCATGTTTCAATCAGGAATAGGAACACAGGTTTAGCAGAAGCTTGCTGTACATAATGTTCTTATAAGAACTGAAGCCCATGTGTACAGGCCTTATAGCACCAAAACCAGCTAGAAAAGAAGTTCAACACCACTGCATTTCCAAAATGTTTTTGTAATAAAATATAGTCTGCAACAATTGCAACCAAGGTAATATTTTTTAAATGAATCAAGAATAGTGCTCCACTACCCTCTAGTGATGTATCAGATACAGGGTACACAGAACCTATAACAAGCATTTAAGGGAAAAACCAGGTGAACACAAATGGCGGCACCAGAAATGACATCCTACGCAGTGCGTCACGAGTCAGGAATCCCTGAAGAAGTCACGTGATTTGTGAAGTAACGCGTAGGACAGAAACGTGTGACGTCATTTCTGGTCTGGGCAGTATCCGTCATTTGTGTTCACCCTGTTTTTCCCTTAAGTGCTTGGAATGAGTTCTGTGAACTCTGTATTTATAGGAGTGCTTTTTAATTTTTTTTTTCCTTAAACAATTTTGCGGTATTAAAGTTTTAATATACTATGAAGAGTTCCTTATCTTTTGAGCACCTATCAGAGTAAAGGATTGTTCCCGAGTGTGCCTGGAGAGACCTGTGGAAGCAGAGGATCCAGTGGGATTCATTATGCGCGCATGTTGACCTATATTTTTAATGGGTCAGCTGTTAAGGTGAGCGCGCATGCCTGAAGGTGGAGGAGCATGATTGGTTTGTACACCTGCTGAAGTCACTGGTGCATTACTTTGAATGTTGGAAGAATGACTTTTATAACTTTTGGTTTGCATTTGCAGGATAGGAGGCTAGAGGCACATTTAATACCATTAAGTTAAATAAACCAAAATTTAATTTGCGCCAACCAAATTTTTTCTCCCCCCCACAAACCACCAGATCAGGTCAAGTCAATAGCATACGCATAGAAATTTTTAAACGCCTTTTAAAAAGAATTGCACAAGTTGATCATTTACAACAAAAATTTATTTAAACCATGAGGCTTTACTTCTGGCTGGATTCAGATTTAGATGTGGAGGCTCTCAGTGATGAAAGTCTACGCCTCTTGGCAATCTGTTCCTGACGCTTTTCCTTGGCTTCCTAAAGGGAGGAGGAGGGGAAAAAAAAAAAAAAAAAAGTCAATAGGTATTCAGTATTCCACTGAAATGATGCCTGCTTGAAAACCCAACTAGTAGTAGACCTCAACACTGATCTAAACATGGGCTCTACTCCTTGACCAACATTGTTATACAGGATTTATACAGCATTTTGCACAGCAAGGTCCTAACGGTTAAACACAGCTGAAGAAATTTTAGCAACTGAGAGAAAAAACATGATTTGATTAGAGAGCTCGAGCTCAAACAACATGTGCGTGACCTAATTACAACACCTGGGAATGCAATGCACTTTACCAAAACCTGGAGATGGAGAAATTTGCTGTTGGTTTCATAGAAATGATTGTATTGAACGCACCTTTGTTCTCTTCGCAAGGAGCTTGGCATACTCTGCTGCTTCCTCCTTATTTTTCTGAGTGCGCTGCTTCTTCAGGGCAATACGTCTGCGCTTGTGTTGAAGAACTCTAGGTGTTACAAGACGCTGGATCTTGGGGGCCTTAGTCCTGGGCTTCTTCCCTAGGAACAATCAAAGTTATAATTAACAGTTGCCACCCTCAACTTTAATATGATCTGATGACAAATAAAGTGCTTTGTTTGATGCAAACTTTTTTGCTATTCACAACATATCTGTGGGCATTAAGAGAAAGAATACGTATATGTCATACTTTGATGCCGTACTTTGCCCAGGAGTCCTGTACTCAAAAGCTTTGCCCATGCCCAGCCATCTGAAGATACCAGCCTATAACCACGACTGAGGAATATCCAGCCTGTGTCCTATATGATTAACATATAGGTTTTACAGGTCGTATACACAGGTATGCAGCCAACAAAATATGAAGCAGTATGACAAATCTTGGTGCATAATTTGTAAAGAAATGGAGAAAAGTAATTGGATAAAAAGGAGTTGTTGCCAGAAAAAACCCACATTCTCAGTTTTATCTTGCCTGGTAGAAGAAAAGATAGACTTCTTAGTCACTGTAACATAAGGCTGGACACAAAAATCAAAAGCAAGTCACACAAAATACACAGGTAAGATTAACCAGCCTTATACCACAGTTTCTAAGCTTTGTGAGGGACACACTACCAAGTGTAAAGCTTCCCTGGCATATCATGCAGCATTCACTCAGCACCCCAAGAATAAACAGACTCCAACTGCAGTATTCTTGCACTGTCAAAACCTCCACTTTTATTATCACAAAACACACAGGGGGATATATCTTATGGTCATCACAATCTGCATAATAACACACACTAATAGTAATGTGAGTATCACACCATGAAATAAACATCTTTTGACAGCATAGAATTAATACATTACCAAAGCTACAGGAAGAAGGGAAGGAAAAGACCTCATCAAAACCATAGTGCACAGGGTATCATGGAGAAGCCTAGGACATGATCCAGACCTATGAGTACATGCAGCCTTGGCAAGAGTATCCAGCGTCAGAGCATCCCCTTTTGGACAGGAGGGCTTCTGATCTCATCGTTTCCAGGCCTCTCTTAAATATCCTGGTTCAGTGCTTCTGGCCACACTCCCAAAATGGGCAGCGCCTTACCCATTCCAGGAAATGTTATTGCCGAAAAACACCAAAAGGTTCCTCAAGGTAACAGAGTCACACCCAGTCACTTTACTGAACAAACAACAACTTATACAATATCCCCCATCAAATTCAGTGGAGCACAAGGGACACATGCAGGGCCTTTTAGACCCTACATGTTTCATTAACCACTTGCCCTCCTGGAGGATTTATCCCCTTTCCTGATCAGGACATTTTTTGCATTTGCCCCCTATGTGATAAAAAAAAAAAAAAAACACTAGCTAAACCCAATCACATAAAATCCACCCCCCCTCCCAAAAAAATTCTGAGGCCACCCCATCTCCACATATAAGCAGACGTGTTGGGGCGCCTACACATAAAAACGCACATGCCAAAATGAGAGCAATAAATTCTCGCACCAGACTTCTTCCGTAACACTAAACTGATGACCTATAAGGAGCTTTTAAAGTGTTTTCTATAGAAAATGTAGTTTACAGTGTTTGGTCAACTTTTTTTTACCTGGCTTCTAGATTCAAAATTTGTCAAGGTGTGTGTACACACACACACACACACACACACACACACACACACACACACACACCATCACCTCATCTGGAACCTCAGGAGGACAAAAAATAAAAAAAAACCACCACAAACACACGGATTCTGCGGGCCTTCTAAACAAAGATTAAAAATACTGCAAAATGCTTGACAGATTTGACAAAGGCTGGATCTGCATACATTTTTAGTAGCAGATTTGCACCATCATCACTACTGAACACCCACGATTAATTGCTATTGAATTTAGGAGCATGATGGTACACAACCACCACCAGCGGGCAATTTTCACGAAAGCAATCATTGCTGGCGATTATCGTGCGATTAAAGTGGTTCTGAAAGCAGAAGGTATTTTTTTTTTTATTATTTTTGTCCAAAGGAGCATTTAAAACCATTGCAACAGCGATAGATCTCTGATGCCATGCAGGTCACCTGCAGACCTGTCAGAATATCTCCTAGCCGTAAGGGATGTACAGCCAAGCAGATATACTGACAGGGAGCTTGAACAGCGCCACCGTAGTTCATTGAAAACTACAAGCCCACAGCCACTAAGGCTGCCGGAACTTGTAGGCACTCTCAGAAATCTGTGAATGAGTGATGCGGCTGTGTAAGCGGAACCCCGCCATTCAAAATGTACATTGATCACCCAAGGGGAGAGGAAACATGACAAAATTCCAATTAAAAAAAAAACCCACATCTTAAATAACCATTTACAGGATATTTTGTCTCAGATCCCCCACCACTTCTTGGTCTCAATGCCAACACCATTTGTGCAGCACAGAAAGAGTGTATAAAATGCCATTGCTTAGCAGGCTATTAAACATACCTTCCTTAGCAAGAGGCTTTCTAACCACATATTGGCGAACATCATCTTCTTTGGACAGGTTGAAGAGTTTGCGGATTCTGCTTGCCCTTTTAGGACCCAAACGACGTGGAACAGTGTTGTCTGTAAGGCCAGGGATGTCCTTCTCACCTACAATGTACAAATCCGTATACATCACACTGAATTCATCCGATAATAGTTAATTTATCTTGTAATGCTTGCCATACTGACAGGTTGGCAGAGAACAATGCCTGCAGATAAACAGGTTACTCACCTTTTCTGACAATCACCAAGTTCAACACACTCAAGTTGGCATCTACAATACAGCCACGCACAGACTTGCGTTTGCGCTCGCCAGTCCTCCTGGGGCGGGGTAACAGGAGTGACCCTTGCTCAGCAGCAGACGAACACGTCCGTGGGTGAGAACTCCCTGTTTCATGGGGAAACCTTGCTTATCGTTGCCTCCACTGATGCGCACAACATATCCCTATATCAAAAACCAAAAGGTTAGATTATCATTCTGCACTGTAAACAAGTCAGGCAATGCACAGTTCATGTGTCACAATTCCTTACCTTCCATTCCTCACCCAAGGGATCAGCTGCAACTTCTGTGGCCATGCGTTTCTCATAAAAAGTACGCAGCTTGCGTTCATCATCAACTTCAATCAACTTCTGGCAGCCAGTAGCTGGGAAAGAGATATTAAGCTGCAAAACAAAGATGATACTAGGTAAGGTCAAATGAATGATAAATCCATGTCACAGCAACAGCATTCTCTTGCACAAATTTAATGAAAACTCACTCTAAAAAGTCTCACAAACATGTTAAACAACATTTTTAATATTTCTGAATCTGCTGCTTCCATTAAAATAATACTTGTGACCCTTTGTGGCAGCCCAGTGGCTTATTGATTGGCACTTCTGCCTTGCAGCATTGGGGCCTCCTTGGTTTGAATCGTGACTACCTGCATGAGGTCTGAAGGCTCTCCCTGTGTTGGCATGGGTTTCCTTCCACACTCCAAAGACATACTGGTATATTAACTGGCCCTTGTCTATATTGTCCCTAGTGTGCAGGTGTATAAAGTGTAAATTGCCAACACTGTATACAATGATCGCCGTAACATTATAACCACTCTCAGGTAAAGTGAACAGTGATTATTTTATTTATGTTTTTGTTGCAGGAACACAATTTTTGTGATGCTAGCAGTGGCTCCTTACAATATTGTTTATTGTGTGGTCACATTGAGGTAGAGCAGGAGTTTTTTTTTTCTTTAATTTCTTCTACTTAGTTACAATGGCATCTGAAAGTGGGTGGAATATATTAGGCAGCAAATGAACATGTTGTCCCTGAAGCCGATACATTAAAAGCAGAAAAAAAAAATGTAAGGACCTGAGTGACATTGACAAGGGCCAATTAATAATGGCTAGACCCATGCTGATCTGTGTCCACAGCCAAAAGTGCCGACAGTGGGCACGTGAGCATCAGAACTGGACCACAGAGCAATGGAAGCAGGTGGCCTGATCTGATTAATCACATTTTCTTCATGGATTACCTTGGAAAGAGATGGCACCAGGATACAGTACGAGAAGAAGGCAAGCCAGTGGAGGCAGTGTGATGACAATGTTCTACTGGGAAACCTTAGTCCTAGCATTCATGTGGATGTTACTTTGACACATACCACCTAAACCTTGTTGCTGACCAAGTACACTCCTTCAAAGAAACTGTATTCCCTGATGGCAAGGGCCTCTCAGTAGGATAATGCACCCTGCCACACTACAAAAATGGTTCAAGAATGAGTTCAGGAACATGAGTTTGAAGTGTTGACTTGGCCTCCAAAATCTTCAGATCTCAATCTAAATCGAGAATCTGTGGGATGTGCTGGAAAACAAGTCCAATCCATGGAGGTCCTACTGTCCAAGTTACTGAACACAATCTGCTACTGATGGCATGGTACCAGATACCACAAGATCTAGTGACAACCATGTCTTGCTGGGTTAGGGCTGTTTTGGCAGCAAAAGGGGGAACTACACAACGTTACGTGGGTAGTCATAATGTTGCACAGATCTATCATAACGTGTGTGTATCTCATATGTGGCACCTATTTTGCACATTTATTGCATGATATTTGTTTGGCACAGATCTGTCACTGATTAACACTAGGATTTATATACATTTTTTGATTAAGGGATGGTGACGTTGATTCAAGAGCTTTACTTACTTTTATTTTTGAATTCATAATGTTATGGCTGATTGGTTTATAGCCACCTTTAAAGAGGAGTTCCAGCTGTTTTTGTATTCATTAAAAGTCAGCAGCTACAAAAACTGTAGCTGCTGACTTTAAGGGCCGGTTCACACTATAGAAACACAGTCCAGATCTGTTCCAGCATGCATGTTTTTGATGCGTTCCGGTGCGTTTTTTATGCATTCCAGTTCATTTTTTCCCTCTTTTTCTTCAATTTAAATAGGGACATGTGCGTTCTTGATGTGTTTTACCGCATTCCCATACAGTTCTGTACAGAAAAAATGCAGAATGTTACTACTTTTTCTGCAACCAGAACACACTGGAACTGCAAGCACTGATGTGAACTATGACACTGACAACCATATAACCTTTCTGTGCGTTTTGGATGAAACATGTAGTGTGAACTGGCCCTTAATAAACACACTCACACCTGTCCCAGGGTCCAGCAATGTGCTCACCCCAGTCGTCCCTTCTCTCCCCGGCATCTCACCTGTGGGCACCAGGCTATGACAGCACGGGACTTCACAGCCGGGTAGCCACAGCGTATGCGCGAGTCGCGCTTCGCATTCTGATTGGTCCGGCAGTCTTCTGGGAGGAAGTAGAAGGGCCAAACTTCCAGCTCATTTCGCCGTGGCAAACTGAGCCGGAAACGGGAGCAGGTACCTGTTAAAACCAGGTATCTGCTTCTCCTCCTCCCCAAAATATAGCAGTGGAGAGGAGGAGGCAAACAAGCAGAGCTTCCAGTTTTGGGTGGAACTCCGCTTAAAGGAGTAATCTATCATTTTCTGGTATAAAGTGACAAGGTTTTGTCCCGTCTTCCAACGGTGCTTTTGTGTTGTCATCCTGTCATACAGGCTTCCAATGGAGAGGACAAGTGGTCTTGTTAATAAACATTAGCCAGGTTTGGTACTCTGTGGGCACCAGCAGGAGGCCCACCCTCAGGAATGCCAGCCAGCCATCCATCAATAGAGTGTAAGTAGACAGAATGTGGCTATCAAAGATCAACAGCAAAGGATATTGAAAAATGAAGATTAAAAGACATGTTAACTGTTGATGATTGTCAGGGCTTCAGATATTATTCAGTGAAGAGTTTACCTCTAAGTTAAGCAAGGCATGTTACTCCCAATCGGAAGCCTACTTGGATATGTGGCTGCCTGACACACAGGGAAGCAATGGGGCAGAATGGCAGTCAGGCTTCCCCTCCACTATACAAGGCTGAATAGTACTCCCCAGGCTCCTGCACTGTGCGAAGCCACAACACTGTATTCCTGCTCTACTCCTACACACCAGTCCTGCCATTCACTCTCCGGCACACTGAACAGCCCAGCCTTCAGCACAGAGCCAGCAGGCAGATCCATAGACAGCCCACGCTGGCAGACCGTGTACACAGCCCAGACCACCGCCATGTTTCTGTCTAACTTCAGCCGGCTCCAGTCCCAGCATCCGCTGCCATCCGACCCCTGAAAAGCCACCTAGTCGCCCCAGTAGCCAGCCGTTTCGTTCCATACACTCAGCCGTGCAGTGTCCGCACCATATCGCTCATAACACAGCGATACAAGCCAACATTTTATCCCTCGTCTCCAGGCTCACCTTCATGTCTGCTCAGCCTATCTCAGGTCCCCCGCCGGAAAGAGGCCGAACTTCCGTGCAGCGAGCTCACATAGAGAAGGGGAGAGCGGCTTACCTGACGTCACCCGAGAACTGGCAGAGCGGGAATAAGCGCCCTCTGCTGGAAGGAGGCTCTCACCTATTTGTAAATCCCCCGGAAGCTAACATGGTATTATGATTTCTTTTTTGGCAACAGTTATGCTACAATCTATACATTTAATATAGAAACTAACATCATTATAATACGAATAATAAGTACAACTAAGGCAGAACTGTTTTTTCCTCTACTTTTGAATAGAGCGGAGATGGATTAAAACATCTGTCAGTTTTTATTGCTGTCTGTGCCCCCATTGAGGAGATTCACCCTTTCTATAAGCCACCAGTCACACAATTTAAAATTGCACGATTTGTGTGCGATTTTAGGTGAGATTTTTGAAGACTTGTGAAGATTTTCAAAGATTTCTTCACTGACGTACAAAGCTGTTCATAATACTGCCCCAAACTACATCACCAATCTGGTATCCAAATACTACCCAAAACGTACTCTCCGCTCCTCACAAGACCTCCTACTCTAGTTCCCTGGTCTCCTCCTCCCATGCCCATCTCCATGACTTCTCCAGGGCTTCCCCCATCCTCTGGAACTCCCTACCCTAATCCATCAGACTGTCACCTACCCTCCTCACCTTTAGGCGCACTCTGAAAACCCATCTCTTCAGGGAAGCCTACCCCGCCCTCAGCTAATTGCCGATCTCCTCCACTCTTCCTACCACTTCATCCCCCACAGCTATTTCCTCCTGTGCCACCATCCCCTCCCTCCTAGATTGTAAGCTCTAAGGAGCAGGGCCCTCTAACCCCTCGTGTATTAAATTGTATTGTTACCGTACTGTCTCGTGTACTGTCTCCCATTATAATGTACAGCGCTGAGCAAACTGTTGGCACTATATAAATCCTGTATATTAATAATAATAATATAGGCAGTACAGTGGCTAAATGGTTAGCACTTCTGCCTGGCATTGCTAGGGTCGTTGGTTTGAATCCCAACCACGGCACCACCTGCCTGGAGTTTGCATGTTCTCCCTGTGCCTGTGCGGGTTTCCTCCGGGTACTCCAGTTTCCTCCCACACTCCAAAGACATGCTGGTGGGTTAATTGGATCCTGTGTAAATTGGCCCCAGTATGTATATGTATGAATGTAAGTTAGGGACCTTAGATTGTACACACCTTGAGGGTTAGGGACTGATGAGAATGTACAATATTATATGTAAAGCGCTGCGTAAATTGACAGCGCTATATAAGTACCTGTAATAAATAAATAAATATTCTATGTATGTGAAATCACACTAAACTGCAGAAAAAGTAATGCAAGAACTACTTTAGAAATTGTGCTGCAGCAAATCACACATGTTAAGACACTGACATTCATTAGATGCGATTTCAATTCGCAAATCGCACCGGAATGGGCACTTAGCCCTGATTATTATTATATTTTGGGTTGTCTCCAGAAAAGTAATAGGGAAAAACTTTCAATGCGGACACTGGTTCTGGTGACATGGGGGGACCCCAAGGGATTCCCTCAGTTTGGAGGGATTTCCTCTTATTTATTTATTACAGGTACTTATATAGCACCATCAATTTAAGCTTTACATATATATTGTACATTCACATCAGTCCCTAACCCTCAAGGGGTGTACAGTCTAAGATCCTTAACTCACATTCATACATGCACATACTAGGGACAATTTAGACAGGAGCCAATTAACCTACCAGCATGTCTTTGGAGTGTGGGAGGAAACCGGAGTACCCAGAGGAAACCCACGCAGGCACAGGGAGAACATGCAAACTCCAGGCAGGTGGTGCCGTGGC